ATTTTATAATTTTGTTTAATTTTCTGTTTTCGAAAATTAAGCATAAAAATGAGTTTTATACATTAAGATCCTTTGAAAGCTCCTTTTAAAAGTATAACAGAAACATACATATGTACATGATTGTAATAGAATTGTGACCACGATGTCGAAGCATACTGTCCGACATCGGAGCTGGTAACGAGTACAACTCACCACACTTCGTTTTAGATAGAGAAAACGTTTTTTCTCCCTCGCTCTCTCTCCCTCTCATTATCTCTCACATCTCGCCGAGTGCCACTCACTCCACTGCAAACTCTGGTTCCTGAGTATACCAGCACTTGACATAATAACTATCAGCAACAATGTGTTGCCATCACTGGTAAGCTGGTGAGTTGTTGAGTTGGTTAGTTGGTAATGCTTCACAGCAAGCATTCATATGTACATGCACAGCGTAAGAAAGATGCGATAAGAAAAATGAAGATGTAGTAATGGGAAAGGACCTAATAAGGATGCAAGCATAACGTGGGTGTTCCAGAGTTTGGGAATACAATGTAAATATTTAAATAAATACTGCACATTTTTATTTATATAAGTTACTACTTATGTATGTACTCGTATGCGCGTATTATTAAAGGGTAGGAAAAAGCATAATCTACGAGTATATCAGCAATTACTGCTGCTCAAGCTGCAATAGGTTTTCCACGTCCTTGTCAAATCCATTTGTCAGTATTCACGGACAACTGTGCTGTTGATAACACCATGGGAAGCTGCATACATATATATGTTTGTAGTTTCGTTGGTAGTCTGCAGACATATGAACTAGTTACAAGTTACTTATCCCGACGCTGGCAGGGGGACATATGCCAAATCGGACCATGCTACGACATCGAAATTGCCAGACTTTTATCACAAATGTAACAGTATCATACTATCATGAGTTTTTAGTTGAGTTTTTAGCAAAGAAGAGCATGCAATTTCGGATCCTACACGCGTTTTATCGACAGTTTAAACCATATTAACTAATTAATATTTAGTCAAAAAGTAAAATGCCATAAAGTTAAAAGTCTTCGGCATTGTCGAAGATATCTCTTTCTTCTTGTTCAAATTTTGTTATGACTTTTCACTACCGCTGACATCTTTTACACTTTATTCTTTTCTTTACTCTCTTGCTTGCCGCCAAATTTTAGTTCGCTTTTGCTTTATTTATTTTTTTAATTTTTTTTTTCCTATATTTTTTTTTTTTTGGTTTTTTATGTTTTTAATTTTTTTCATTAAAGTCGGATACAAGTAGATATATGTAAATATGTTCGTGTATATGTGTGTATGTATATATGTGCAACCATCGAATGAGAGTACAAATTATACAAACATATTCGTATTTATTTTCTCATTAATACACATACTGTATGTGTTTGTATGTACATGCATACATATGTATGAGCCGACAGGGAAAGAACGCGTACTACGTTAGCAGAGCTAAATTGAAAAAATGGATTTTTGTGTCAGTCAGTTTGCCTTTAACATTTCAAATTTATGCCAGCCTTCATTCACTCAACAACGGCCATTCAAAGACTTGGGCGTTTTTTGACGATTCTTCGTGAGTTTTTCTGTCGGTATTAATACAAACGTAGACAGACATGTTAAAGAGCAAAATGAAAAAGATGGTATGACATATTTAATCAAAACTTAAAGAAAACACATTAAGTTTTAGCAAATTTTAATATCATCGAAAGCTTTCAAAAGTTCAATGGCAAGCTCTATTCCACGCTTAACTCAACTGGGATGTGGCACTATAACTCTTTAAGGGGTTAAAATAGATACACAAGCCGAGGTATATTTTTGTCTCGTTTTTAGTAAAACAGGACATGTTTAATTTAATAATATACTATTTTACAAGTTCATGAAATGATTAAAGTTATTACAGTTATTTCAAACACAATATTCTGTATTCTGCTGCAAGTGCAATAATTAACAGCGTGAGTGGGTTTATATATAAACGTACATGAATATGTGCGTACTCGTACTATGTGGACTTGAGTCAGTAATGGGCTAAAGTATTTCAAATATTGGATCAAGTAAAAAGACATCCATTATTTTTGCATAAAATTGAAAGCTTTACTTCCCATAAGTAAAATCGTCTGGATTATGCCAAAATTATGCTTCTCTCATAGAAACCTATGTCCTTATTCGCAAAAAATTGAGGCATTCTTCTTTTGATGCCAATTCTTCACCAGGCAAATAATTCAAATTAGACAGAAACAAATGGTAATCACTTGCTGCGTGGTCGGGACTAACAAACTCTAGTAGCTTCTTCGTTATAAAACGCAGAAAATTCCAATTTAATGTCCTTATTCGCTCGATGGGACCATCCGTTGGGTCCAACTTTCGATGACTCGTTCGAGAATTTCGATTGATAACTGGCGAATTACAAGCGTTATGCTTTTCCCCAAGGCCTGAATCCAAGCGGAATCGTCCGCATAGACTTGAGACTTTATATATCACCACCGAAAGAAGTCTAACGGTGGGATATCGATCCACGATCTTGGTGGCCAATCGATCGGCTCAAAACGTGAAATTGGCTGCTCACCAGAGTGTTCTCTCAATAAATCCATGTGTGATGTGTGGTAAGTGACCTAGATCGCGAGCTCCGATTCCAGGCTTGAAATTTGGCGCGAAAACGTCGGATCCTCGCCAGTTGTACTTCAGTTCTTGCACAATCTGCATTTTGTACGCTTTCAATTTAAAATCTCGACGTAAAATGCGCCAAGTCCTCGTGTACACTCTCAGCTACGGCCGCTATATTTTCTTCACCGTGTGCTGGACGTGATTTACTCGAGTGGAACGAATTGTACACGTTGTTCAGGTGTCTTTCCATGATGAAATGTAAACCAATACTGAACAAAAATTTCTTGACAGCTTGACACGACTCCTGCGTGATCAAAGAAAAGATATTAAAAAAGTACCTCTACTGGGATGACCCGTCATTATACTATATACACGTACATATATATATACTCCAACTTATATAATGAGTGTAAATACTTTGCTATGATTACACTCAAAATACACATTTCTCTACGGTAGACATTATAATTGACTCAACAGCAAAAAAAGGGACTGACAAAACACATTATATATATGTCCGAGTATATATGTAGACAATTACAAAGATATCCCAAATTTTACAAAATATGTATTTGATTGTTGACATATAATTTGCCATATGCTTGCATACAGTTATATCACATATGCTCGGCCGTGCTTTTCTGCACGGCTGTGCTAGGATGAATGCTAGGCGACGTTCTGCCTCTGTGCAGCGGCCGTGGGGCTCAGCTGGGGTTGTCGGCATTCAGCAACGATGTTCATATATGCTGTGGCGACGACGCTCCACAGGGTATTTCATTGCTCGTTTACTGTAAGCAGCTCGCAGTGTCACTGCGGTTTCAGATGTATTAGTTAGACCGTTACGTGATCACGATGACTGCGATCACTTAGCATACGGCTATTCCATAGGATTAACTCATTGCGACATCTGATATTTGTGGCCTTATCGCCAACACAGTAAATTTTTCCCAATTCTTTACAGCGTTAAAGCAAACTACAATAATTTGCGGCGAAAAATAAATACCCACAAAGTTTTCGACGACGATCGAAACTCATAATAAAAACTAGAAACTCGATCTTCGATAACCAAAGAATATCGAATTTTACGTTGTTCAGGAAATTTAAAAGAATTTTAGTATTTTCTTCGGCTTAGATCCCATACGATCTGGGCAGCTCAGCAACTGAATGAAAATACGTTTGTTAATCAACAGCGCCATTTATCTCATATATTACGGTATTTTACAGTCTAATTTTTCGAAGAACCAACCCATTCGATGTCGTCATCGTCCTAACTTCACTATCTAATAGGATGGATAGCTATAGGGAGTTAGATTTTCGTTGGAAGGAGTGATTCTTTATTGTATTTTCAGCATCACTGTTATGGGAACCTAGACCAACCCCGTTAACTTGGCTATTTTTTCCATGAATTACTCTCGGTCTCGTTCACTAAACGTTCAACTCTAAATGAACAGTCCAAAAAAGTGCTTCTAAAGAAAATATTTATTTAAAATTTGCCTTTAATTTCTCACTTTCACATCACGCAACAAAAACGAGTTACGCCGTTGTCCAACACATTAATGCAACTGCGCATTCCATAGAGAAAATGCTTGTTGAAGAAGTGGTACAATTCTATACCTTCTACTGAACTACCACCAGAGCAGCAGCCACATGCACATACATATGTGGAAAAAAGGCTAACAACGGCAGCAGAAATCGCATCCGCTTGCATGACTTGCCACTGCTTGCTCAGCAAACAACGAGGGACAAAGGATTTTTCCACCCTCGCACCACACATACGCGAACTTCAGTTGTGCAACGAACAGCAAAATCCGGGTCACCTAAGCGTGACTTCGAAGCGCAAGCTCAGGGCGTTACGCATCCACAAAGCAGAATTTCCTAAAAAAAAACATAGGCTAAAAGTCTAAAAGTCTAAAAGTCGATTTTACTTTCTCTACACATTCTCCAAACATATGTCTACAATCCGCTTTCGGGTTTTTACCTAAATTACGCCAACAGTGCAAAGCTTACGCGAGGTGTTGCTCTTTCACTCCGATTTCATTCACTCTGTCCATTCTCATTGCGAAAATTTACCAAATACTTTTTCTGCCCGCCGCTGCATGTGTACACAGTATACTTATACATACATATATACTTGTAGATTCGTTCGGAAAAGTTTGTCTATGAAAGCATACAATCGTAGCATCGCAAACCTCATGGAATGGCGAGACGACTCAGTTTAATCAATTGAGGTGAGATTTGATCAATACAACAAATGACTCTGGCAAATTCGGCAATATCTACGAGTACATATATTTAAATGCTGTGTGTGAAGTGAGCCATGGACCGAAATATTCGAAAGTCATATTGGTGGTTCCATAGGTGGATTTATACTTAAATTGGCAGGAATACTACTATTCTCTCCTTCAAATTCTTTTATTTACCGGCAGCGGGACGATTTATTTAAAGAAATATGTTCGGCTTGGTAATGTTTTCGGATCATATGCCTAATGTAGGAAGGTGGTTCGCATGGTGTACTAACATTCGGAAGGCATCATGAAAATCCATCACCAATAGATAGGTGCATACGTGTAGGTACGTTCAGGTCAAAACTTGAGTGTGAATAAGCATAGATCCGTATTGAACGTTTGGCTTACTTTAAGGGATTCACATATAATACACATACCTAGATCAATTGCATAATAGAAAATAATTAATATTTCATTGTAATGAAAAATATGATTCGACTTACTCCCTGCAGAATTTTGCTTGTTGCATCAGACATTTTTATGCTCTTTTTGTTGTTTATTTCAAATGAACTCAAAGCATCAAGTGAAAACTTATAATACTGATAAGTAAAAATAATTGATTGACTTTTTAACTTTTGATATTTTTCATAGCGGCACTTTGCACCGTAACTAAACTTGACTTTCCTGTTAGAAAGGCTCCTCGTAACGGTATTTCATCGAAGAATGCTGCGCAAGATATCTCTAACGCTTCTACTGCATCAATAGCCAAACAAAGAACAACAAGCACTAGCCAAGTAATAAACGAAAGCAACAACTGCTCGGACATCAATGTCTACAACATCCAATGTTGCAAAGATAACCCTCAAGTAAGTGTAAATATGTGGTAACTACATGTTAAGCTCGCTCACAACTCGAAAGCGTATCATAGACATTCTGCACTTAAGTTTGTGGCGATAGTTGATGTCCCTCGGAGGATCTCAGGCACGGAGGCCCGTACCACAGCCACTGGCTGGCTCTATGCCAATGGCAATGGGCACTTTCAATATTACACATATATATACTCACACATAAAGCACGTGAATAAATGTATGTACATAAATTGAAAGTAAAATAAAAAAAACGAGTTTGCAGTTAGGTCGAGCTGAAATGGTTAAGTAAAAAGTAGTTACTAGCGGACCGGTATGAACGAATTTTGATGTACGAATACGAATACACTCCTGGTACATAATCGTTAGCTTTCAATTATCAGTGAACTGAATTTATACGATTATATTATTTTCGTGTCAAAAATAAGCTCCAAAAGGTTTACTTTACTTTAATGGTTGGTCTGCCCAACTTCCGAGGCCACTATCTAACGCATAGTAATACGCCCTGCCACCTACAATACAACCATATCCTTGCTCGCCAGCTTTCACTCAAACAACCCTATAACTGAAAGACAGGCGTATATGGCTAAGTCAGCTTGCCGAGTTATTCCGATCACAAGCTGAGCCAACTTCAACGTCATAGAAACTTTTTACCATGAAGGAGTATATTGCAGACCAGCACAGCAGGTTTTGCATATATCTCCACCTCCTCGCTCTGCACATTTTAACCAATTTGCGGATTTGCTAACGAAGCGTTTATTCCCTCAGCCAGTTCGCCTCACTTTTCCGCCCACAATACTCGATTTGAGGGTTGGCATTGGAAAGAAATGGAACGTCAGCAGCACCAGTAGCAGTAGGCAAGGGTGGAGTAATTATATTGGAATTGTTAAACTTATTAATGTCGCGTTTCAAGTGGATTCAATTAGTAGCATGTTGCCTGCTGCCTTGTTGCCTTGTCGCCTTATTGCCTTGCTGTGTTGCTGCAGAATTTTAGAATCCTGCAACTGCGATGCTCACTGCATTGGGTGTTTAATTGTATTTACCCGAATTGGCATGCTGGTGAGTGTGCTTGGTATGAATGTTGTGTTACAAATGGTCTGAGCTCTTGTGGGACCCAGAGGGGTAATCTACCGCCTGATACTCAAAGTGTACCGAATTTTCGGCGGGGACACTTCTCCTGTTTGCTGAATGGCAGTGGAAATAGAGCATCAGGAGATGGCGAACCCGATTGCCCAATCGATAACATTGGAACTGACTATGAAGAAATTCGAATACCAATCGTATGCTTGAAAAACAACAAAGCGGCAGGATCCGATGCATGGCCGGCCATGCTGTTTAAATGCGGTAACGACACAAATCACTTCTTCATCGATTTTAAAGCAGGCTTCAATAGCACTAAAGAAATTCCCTCTATGCCACAGTGCTTGAACTCGATACACGCCGTGAATTCTGCTTTCTGCTGACTGGATAATGAAGCGAAGCGCATGGATCTGGTAGCGAACAAGGCAAGACGAAGAATCTCCTTTCTCCTATCAAACAGTCATCGCATTCGCGACTCGGCTTCCACATCCCGTTGACAGTCATAACTCTAAGTCATAGATAACTTCGTCTTTCTATGGATCAGCATCAAGACCAACAATTATGTCAGATTCACTCTAAAAAGTAGCTCATCATTCCGTCCTTCTATATGGTACGAAGCATGGACGATGGCAACATCTAAAGAGCAGGCATAAGGAATTTTCGGAAGAAAGGTTTGGCGTAAGACTTGTGGTCCTTAGCGCGTTGGGAACGGTGAATACCGTGGCTGATGTGGTGTACGGCGATACTGACATATCAGTAGACCGCGGCTCCGCTGCCTAAGTCTTATGATCCGGATGGATAAGAATACTCTAGCCCTCCGGAAGAATGGAGGTCTTTCAACCCATTTGAAAGAGCTGGCGCCAAACAGTGAAAAGAAAAAACGAATGGCGCACGTTGTCCATTTGGCTATAATCGCGTAGCGTAAATAAAATTGCGGTGTTTTATTTATCTATTGTATTTACGTATATATTTAATTCTATCTTTATTGTTTTCACATAAATTTCACACTTTACACTCTTTAAGTTCTCATTAATAACCAACCCAACCAAAAAAATTATTATGTATTTATGTTTGTATCTATATATATATATTGTATGTAAGTAGACTTTTAAGGTAGTAAGCGTTTCATTTTCAATTCCGCGTGTGCGAATGTCAATATTTCACTCGAAAGCGTTACTAATCTAAACTACGGGTATGTCTAAGTGCATATGTATGTATGCATGCACCCGAGTTGTGAAAAATTCATTGAAATTTTATTGACAAACTCAATGTCAGTATTAATTAGAGCTGCATCCCATATTTTCATCCGCTAAGTGGCACAAGGGTCTCGACAGCATTTACGCGGTTTGAATATTTTTATATTGAGACAGGTCGGAAAATCGTAAGAACCTGTACGGAGTGCATTAAAATGCTCAAGCAGTCGCTTTTCACCTCAATGCATTGAAATTTGAAAATATGGTGAGCCAGAAAAAGGTAGTACTTTAAGGCCTTAATGTATTCGTAGCGCTTAGAAGATGAATGAACTTTTCGTAACTCTGGCAAGCATGCATGCAGATATATTTAATGTGATTTTTTCATCCTTCTAAGTTAAGATATGTTTGAAATTATGTTTATCTATTTGAAATAAGTTAAATAAATTAAGTTATCTACAATATTAAAAGCTAGTTAAGCCACTACAGTATATTCGGGATTCTTTCTTTTGTCATTTTAGTTTCCTACCGTAACACAACGCCTATCTATCGTGTCTAGATTTGTATATCTCCTTTCAACTCTTCTCATGCCTCTTAAAAGTTTGTTTATTCATGTTTGTGTTGGGTGCATGCCTTTAAAGCCTCATTTTATATTATGTTTGATTTTCATTGTATATTGGATTTATTGGGATGTTGTTGTTGTTACACCCGTGACCGGCGGTAATTTCATTTGCAATTGTTGGAATTTAATCAATTGGACGCATACCATTGCGCTGTGAGAGTGCCGAATCGGGATTCTTCAGCTCCATAGCCAATTTATAGCCGAGCTCTGGACGTCGATCCCTTCCCTCAACCATGCCACGTACCTGCAAAATGTCAAAAAATAAAATAAAATAATTCGGGTATAAATATTAGAGTCGATGACTGCTAAAGCGATTCAATGGTTAGGAAAAAACATTTGAAATCTCTGCTCACCTCACTCGAGTGTACCACCACGCCATGATTGCTTATGACCTTCTCCTTGGTGTGCTCGATGTCGTGAACGTCCGTGCCGCGGCAGCAGTCATCAATCAAAATGGTGCGGTAGCCCACAGACAAAGCATCGACAGCAGTAGCGCCTAAATTTAATTGATGTGGTTTAAATGCATAAGTCATTTTAAGTAAATAACCTTTTTTTCGTTGATTTTATTTTTTTTTTTGCATCTACATACCTACGCACACATCGTATGCCAAGCCACAGACATATATATCGGTTGTACCCTTCATCTTGAGCTGTGCATTCAGTGTTGTATCGGAGAGTTTCTTATTATCCCAGAATACCGAGTATGAGTCGACTTCGGCATTGGTTCCTTTGTAAATTTTAATACCGTTATCCACAACCTTCAATTCCTTATGCAATTCAGCACCCCATGAATCTTGCACACAATGGCGTGGCCAAAGGCGCTGCTTCATTGGTGGTGGGCCCGCAAAAATAACCGTGTCAAACACTTGCGCTGAGTCAGCATCGATCTGTGTGGCGAGCATTGAAAATTTTAAAACAAACACATGACTGATATGAAATTAAAATGCTTTTGCTCTGTTTACCGGCGATGACTCGTCCATGGGTCGCATTTTGACATTGTCAATGAATGAGACATGATCGCTTGGATGCCAATCCAGTGAGTAGAAAATAGCATCGAATTCCACTGTATCCAAGAGATTGTTGGTGGGTTCCAGAATCTATGTTAATAAAAAAAGAAAACCCGGGGGACGCGCAATAATTAGAAAATATAGACAATGCTTTGAATTTTTAGAGAGCATTCTAATTTCCTACTTCACAGGGTGGTGGCGGAAAAGTCACATAGTTCTAGTCCCAGTTGTGTTGATTAGGAAGAAAGACGGATTTTGTGTAGATTAGATGTACAGTTTGCCTGTGCGGTCACTTATAGCAACAGTCATCTGATACCGAAAATATATATATAATATATTATAGAACCGGAAGCTCAAACGGGCAGAATTGAAATGTAAGTTTTCAGGAAGCGAAGGAACGCTTGGGGAAAGGCCTGCAGGTCTAAAAGTTTGGTATTGAGCTGCTCAGTTTTTGAGATGCCTCTCACAATCCACACAGACGCGTCTGATTTTGGAATAGGTGCGGTGCTAACGCTAATTTATGATGACGGTTAGATGATTATAGTATTTTTGAGAGGTCTTTGGACATAAGTGCGCGCAACTTTTCGAAGGCTGAAAAGCAGTATCTAGTGCTCTGTGGGCGGTTGAGAAATCGCGACCATACGATTAGAACGATAAGTGTACGATCATCAGGGCCATTATTCATCTTATATGGCTAAATAAGTTGAAGGATCCGTGGGGCAGCATAGCGAGATTGGCTTTGATGCATCCGCTATATGACAACACGTTATTTGGTGCCTTTTTGAGGTTTTTACTTTTCAAAGAACAATTTTCGCTACTCGAATATAACTCTGGTGCAACCAGACTGAGCCTGGAGTGGATGAGTAGCAATAACCTTAACCTTAGAAAAAAAGAAGCTATTAGCTCCTACCTTAAAGCATGGTTTTGATCCTCAGTTTAAGGACTCTCTCAAAAAATATATTCAGAAAAAACTGTTATTTCGAAAATTTTATTTGGGACTTTCTGGCGCAAAATCTTAATACGAACAACTTTAACCTCCTTTTAAAGCGAAAGCAACTAAAACTGCTACATTGACTAAACAAATTTTCCGGGTTCCTCAATAAGGTACGGTAAATTTAACTTCTTTTAATTTGTGTTATCTGACCTATGCTTTGTAGCGCAACTCGAGTAAGTTAGAAGCGCTTCTCTGTAAAGGCTCTCGCCTTCATCATTTGCCAGTACAACAATATTTCTTCCCTTTTCAATATGTACCGTCCTTAGACAAACACACACAAAAAATACATTTTCACAGTCAACTTCCTTGGCGTTCCGAAGCAACGCGCTTCTATCTATACTTGGCATGCCAAGTGTGCTTCTAGACTAAACACTCACTCACCTCATGTCCTTTTTGCTGTGCACTGCAATTACTTATATCCAAGGATCCACTTATAAAATCATTCTGCACATCAACAATGAGGAAAGCGTTCACCGGTCGTACAATCTGCATCGTTGTTGTTATTATTCCATGTACGGTTGAATGTTGCCGTTGTTGTTGTAGTCATAATAAGAGAAAGTATAAAACGAAAAAAGAAAAACACAAAAACAGATCGTAAAGTTAATGTTGAAAAAGTTTCGGAATACTTTACGCGCACTCATACACACAAATATCTGTTCTTGTTATTGGAACGCAAAAAAACACATAAACAAATACACACACACACACACACACACACACATACACAAACGTATAAATGGTTTAGTATAGTGCGAAGAATAGAGTGTAGCGAAGAGTCAAGTGAAGTTGACAACACCCGACAAGCAAGCTAGTAGCGGAAGGATGCTGGCAGGATATGAAATTTGAGTGTGTTATTGTTGCTGGCGCTGCTTGCAACATTTGCGGCTTGCGAAAATGTGAATGCCGGATATTCATGAAAAGCAAATTAATTTTTCGGACATATTTTTGGCAAATTACGAGTGTTTTGACTTTGTTAAAATCGCATTCGCCTCAAACTTGAATGGAGGTTGAGGACTTAGTAAACAAGCGACCACTGACTAGACCCATTGTGCTCTCCTGCGTATTCCAACTACGCGTTCGCCTTAAGTATGCAAATTCAGTTGTGTAGAGCTGAAACCTGCCGGAATGTAGGACGCCCCGATCGGCTGAAAGTTGGGCACTGGTAAAGATACCACGTTTCGTCCTCTAGCAAAATCTTTCAGTCATAAAGAGAGAAATAGAGACAAAAGATTTTCACGAATATCCCGCAATGCCTTTGTGCAGCTAAGAGCACATTGTTGAAACCAACAACAGTAGTACTTGAAAAATATCAAAATCAGTACCTTCGGCATACGACGTCTCCACCTCAACATCTATATAAAGTTACCAATGACTTCAAAGTTTTGTCTGTCAACAGTTGAGCGGAAGCCGAGTCGCAATTATTTTTTGCTTGATGACATACCCTCGTTCGCAACCAGGCCCAAGCGCTTTGCATCCTTATCCAGTGTGGAGAAAGCAGAACTCACAGCGCGGTTGTTGAGGTCAATCAAGTCAATTATTTTTTGCTTGATGACATACCCTCGTTCGCAACCAGGCCCAAGCGCTTTGCATCCTTATCCAGTGTGGAGAAAGCAGAACTCACAGCGCGGTTGTTGAGGTCAATCAAGTCAATATCATCATCATTTTACGCCAGTAGTTTTACCCTCTTATACAATAGAAGATATAAGCAATTATTTTTTCCAGCAATATATTGAAGAAGTCAGCAAATAAGGGGTCACGTTGTATGAGGCCTGGTTTGGCATCGAACGGTTCAGAGGTATTTCCCGGTCCTAACAAAACATATGGTATTGCTTAATGTCAGTTTAGACAGCCGAAAAAGCTTTGTTTTAATGTGATGACGACCATAGCAAACATATTTACTCCCTCACCTTACAAAATATAATATGTGCATACATACATATATAATATATGAAAATATGTAAGAGAATGGATAAAAACCATCAACAGCCGGAAATTACTTTAACACCTTTCTTCCGCAACACGCTGCTGTAGTCACACTCATCTACATACATATACACATTTGCCCTTATTGCAAACGCAACAACAAATTACGAATACGTTCATGGCCAATGCAAAAATTTTATATGTACGTATGTCGAACCTTCCGCTGCCGTTACATTTTACCTGCTCAACACTGTTTGCCGATTCTTTGATTGCTGGTAAATACCAGAGCAATTTGTGATTGAAATTGAATTTCGCTGCTTGCCAGACAGGAAGGGAAACACACCCACACAGGCCGACGCAGGTAGACTGTCTCACAAGAGCAAATGTCGAAAGGCTGCATAAAATCAATTCAATAAAAAAGCCAATTCCGGTGACATTTGGTGCAAAAACAAAAACAAATACAATACATATATATGTACCTTTTCAAACTTTATTTTGTTATGTTATTTTAAGATTGGCTTGCGAAATTATTTTTCTATTATTATCGCTCGGAATAGTACCCCCATGTGGTAAGGAGTGTATAAAATACTGCTTCTGCTCGAAGTTATTTAGGAAATATTTGTAGAAAAGCTTGAAGTTTTTCAGCTAAAGAAATGCTGAGCTATTTGACACCTTAACGGGATGACTCTTCAAAAAGATACGTCACATTTAAATTAATTTGCATAATAAATTCAGTAAAGCGTGACGTGGCATGGAAAGCAAGTATTTTTAATTGGAAAAAATATATGAATTTTACATATTAAACAAATCATTTATATACATACATACGTGTACATGTGTATGTATATGCATACAAATGCACATCCATGAAATACGCATATAAATATGAAAATAAGTGTCTCTGAATTGGCATTCATTTCAAAAAAGACTTCTCAGTAAAATCCATGGTGAAGCCACAAGAAATGTGGAAAAAATTGTCAGTACAGAAAAATTTGTATAAACATATTTACAAAACATAAGGTCAATTAGGGTGGTTCAAGTTTTGCATACATATTGGTCTAGGAAAAGCAATAATTTGCAATAGATGGCTTTACGGATCTATATCTCGCGTTCAATAAGTGCGGTTGGGCTACGCTAGATATCAAGAGACGTGCTGATCAATTAAGTCAGTATTGCTTGAGATGGACACAAGCAAAGAGAAAATATTCCATATTCTACAATTTTTCTTCGATGAAGGTAGCCTAAAATGCGAATATTGTTTATGGTTGAAAATACCGAAAATTCTTCAACGCCACTCTTTCGCTCTCATTCGAAGCGTGCGTACACGAATATTTTTTTATAGCCACATATATTGTACATATTATATACATACGAATTGAATATGAATGCAGTATTTACGCACAAGGTTGTACGTAAATTGAGTTGAAAATCAACATAAAGCGCGTCCACGGAAATCATGAAAAACTCCATGAATCCAATTGCCAGCAAAAAATTGAGTTCAGATTTCTCTGAAATTTTTATTTTTTTACTGTAATAAAGTGTTGGAGGAGTATGTATGTATGTGTCACATAATATTAGACTACGTAAATTGTTGAAAACAAATTCTTACTGAAGGACTGAAACTTATGACATTTTTCACGCCGCCAACACTTTGTGTCTCTTCGCTTAATGGAATTAAACTCATCCCCATATTATTCTCAGTAACAAATCCATATACATAATATATATGAACGTAAGAATGCACATAGCATGGAAAATGGAAAAAAAGTTCATGGATTCACTGAAAATCTACATAACGGTACGAAGTTGAGATATCAACTCCGAAAAATGCAATTCCCTTTTGCAGCTGTAGTCCGGGATGCCAATTTAGTTTTGAGATTTTTTGCACCACAATCAGCTTACCGATAAACTGTGAGCATTCAAGGACATAGTGGTAATGTGGCTGTCAGAGCCATATATGAGCAGCTGCTTAAGCCCCTGCGGGTTAGGGGCTCAAGAATTTACCCGCGGTAAGGCATGCCTGTCGTAAGAGGCGACTAAAATACAATAGTTCCCGCGACAGTCGGGTCTTTATACCGGAACGACCCGGATTTTTATCCGGCCAAGGACTGTCACTACCGCAATATTCCCCAAAAAGTACTTTGGAAAATAATTTTGCGGTTACAACAACAACAGCAGCTGCTTAAAATATCCACAATTTTTTACGTTTTTTTTTTTGACAGAAACGTCTCCGCCCTCCAGTAGATGTATAAAATGGCTCCTAGCATGCCTGTACAGAAGCCGAAGCTTTACCAAAGTTCCCAGAGAGAGATCTGCCAACAATATCACAGGGCTGGCGCTATGTTTAGCATGATATTGAGCACGCGTTTTGGTTAAATAGTTGACAATGCCCCAATAATACTAATACTAGCATTTTTTACTTAAGCGCCTAGCGTAAAATCTTCTGCCGGAGACGAACAATTGGGGCCGATGATCTAATGATCTCCCTGGGACAGTACTTCAAAGTCAGACAACCCTAATGCCTATAAATCACCGAAAAAAGTGGCTAATCAACCTCTTTGAGTCTCATTCCATCTTTAAGTTACTTTCAATGAAATGCAAATTAAATAAATTAACGCAAGATTTGAATTGTATAGAAAATATTGATCATCATGCAATCATAAAATACATAGAAGTCTACAAGTTTGTGTCTATAAAAATAATAATCATCTGCAAAACATAATTTTTTAACTTAAACACCTCGGATATGATTATAACTGGTACTCAGATCGTGTCACGGATTTTCACACAATTTTCTTTACTAAGCAAAAGCTAAAAGGTACTCACGGTTTTAATCCAACGATTCCAGCAAAACTTAAATTCCTCCCTATCAATGAAGCCATCGCCATCCGTATCGAATACCTCAAAAATCTGCTGTAACCGTTCCGGCGGCACATCGTAAATACGTCCCTTGTCATTGCGGAATAATGCCCGGCAGATGAGCGTGAATTCGGCCAAACTTAGACGGTCATCGCTGTAGAGAAGAAGAAAATTTTTAGGATTATACATGCATACACATGCATAATATATTCAATGAGAAGATAAGGAGTAATTCTTTAGCAAGTTTCTCTTAGGCCGCTTGTGAGTTCCGTGGCTTTTGTCACTTTCAAAAATGTTCAGTTATAATTTAACAACAAAGAAGCAACTCTTGCAAATTGTTGCTATTCGAATCTTTTTACCGAATTTCAAATTCAGTTCACATTATTGGACATAAATGCGTAGAGGGCGTCATGCCCAAGAATCGTGCCGTTCGCAGCAATTGACCACAAGCCGCACGACCTACGACGCTGGCTAAAGTCGGATGAAGATCAATATTTTATCGAATACTAGTATTTTATCGACGAAAGTCATTTCGGGTTGAATGGGGCACAAGCAAACTTCGTGTTTGGAGTAAAGAGAAACCGTGAGCATTGTAAGAATGCATCCGAACAGCAACTGTTCAGTGTGTGAGTTAAGGGTCGGCAGTCTAATTAGACCGTTATGTTACTGTAAATGGCGCGCGCTGCCAAGCGCACTCAGCACCCGAAACAATTGACCAATTACGAGCTCACTGAACTACTTCACGTTTGGTGCCGATCAATTGGTTCCGCTAGGCTATGGTAAGGCTCATTCCGTTATTACAGATTCTAGAACGCTTGGATGTTTCTCAATTTGAAACTGAATTGTCTTCAAACGTGCTCAGATCGAGTCAAATATTTTCTTATCGCAGTAGTCGAGTTTTAGCAGTGCATGATGCCATGCGCAGGTTCACGGGTTTTTTTCTCGCCAGACCAACATCGAAAATCATAAAAATCATATTTCTGATTGCGCCCACTCCATCAGCCTTTCCAATATGGCTTAGAAAAAACTGCAAGTTCTTCTGTGTGTTGAGAAAAAACCCCAAGACAAGCACTCGGACCACACTTTTGACAGTTCTTTCTAAATTTTTCACTAATGAGCTTCATTTCCGAAAATTAAGTGCATTAATTGACTTTTTTACACCTTCTCACATAGTTTACTCCAAAAGCACTGCACTGCCGTTATTACATAATTTATTACAGCTTCTTCTTCCACAACGTCACTTGCCACCATTCAAATTGGAAACTTACAAGGTTTACACTAAAGCTTCATAAAAAGATGCATGAATTATTTACGATATTTTCCCGCACACTGTGAGCACTCTTACTGTTTTCTGACACCGTTAAATTATTCACTTAATTGTAAAATAATTTGGACGGCTTGATTTCATTGCTTATATATATGGAAGTTGAGAACACTCACCCGTCCTTATCGAATGCGGTGAAGCAAGCATCCATTGCTGAACCGTTCGGATCCTCGATTACAATTGGCGGTGTTGGTGAGTCCATTCTCACGGAAATGTCTGCTTACAACCAAATTTTATACCGTCAAGAATGTCAACAACAGCAACAGCAACCGCAACTATGCACCTGCAGGCAAAATTGTAATATGAATATGCCGTAGATACTTACATATACACTGACACATTATATGTATGTAGGTATATGTATGAGAAATCTCTAAGACATATATATACACACAACAGGCACAGCCACACACACACACACGCACGCCCTTAGAGAACTCACTCACTTTCGTGTTTCGTCAAAAACTTCAAATTAAAGTATAAAAACGTTCCCCATTTGAAAATGGATTTGTACGTATGTATGTAGAAATCACTTGCCACTTCGTCACAAACACGCCAAGAAAGACGGAGAAGGCGAAAGCGAAGTCGTTCGATGACGTCTTAAGGTCAAATCAACCACACAAACACACATGCACACGTTCACACGTTTAGGGAAAGCTCCTTGGCGTTGTACTAAACTTGATTAAAACCTACCCGAAAATTTTCACTGTCGACCTATGACTGCGCTAGACCAACGACTGACTGGTAAACGCTTGAGCGGCAACGTTTTTGTTGTCACTATGCACATAGTATTTTACTTGAATTGCTTCAATGATTTATCGAAATAACAAAAGGTACTGCACCCAAACGCTTGGGAAATATCTTGGGTGTGGTCGCTATGGTGATCTGATGGTTTCTTGTGATCCGCGCGCTGAATTAGAGTAGCGATTGGCGGTAATAGTTCCATTCAGTGATTTTGTGGCATTTCACCTACACCCACACCCGCACCTACAGCAACTGCATTGCACACTTACAAATACGAGTACACACAAACGCATGTACATAGTTAGGTTCATATACAAGTATAACTGCCTTAGTTTACCGCAATTCGAGCTGTGTTAAGTGGCGCGCGAGCGTGCAAACTGGGCTTAAAGCGTCGGAGAAGGCGTTGGAGGCGGCGATAGGCGTATGCGACCGCCTGCCGCTTCAAATGAGTAGGTATGCAAATGACAAATCGTTAGAAGCATTTAAGGGCCATTTTCGTCTTTCCACATATTCACATGCAATGCTTAGTGACAAAAAGGTTTGTGTAATTTAGTTAATGACAATAGTTGATTACTAGATTTTCATTTACTCATTTAGTAGATGATTATTTTGTGATTTCTATATATATACATATATATTTTTTTATTTATTTATTTTCTCTTTTTGCGCTTCAACTCAGTTTTATTCATTCAGGTAGAAATCAAGTGTTTATATGTATGTATATGGGAGATAGGTCGTCCTTGAAAACAAATGAGGAAAATTGTGGGCTGCGTCGTGATCCGGCGAGAACAAGCTAGCTAGGTGTGATGTCGAATTTTCTGGGTAAAGCAGATTATTTAAAATGACTAATTCAATGATATGAAAAAATTAAATAGGGAATGAATTAATGGCCAGCTGTGTGCATATTATATTAGTTGGAGTCTACAGTCTAAGCTACATACCAAAATTAAGGAGGAAATCGAAAATTGTTCTTGTTCTTATTCCAATTTTCTTGATTCAAAATATTTACAAGATATTTTGGATAGTAACGACCATCCGGATCTATCTATCATCAGCCGCCGTATACTAATACAGCTCCGCCGAATGTACACGACGAAGTAGTATTCAAATCATGCAAAATTTCTGTCGACCTTATCGATCGGGTTGAAAATCGTCAGAGTGTTCAATCATCATGCATAAGAACAGATCCAGACACTTGAAAGTTGGACTATGAGTACATAAACAGGAAGATTTAATGGATATCATTCAGCTCTCCCCATTTCGCTATTATTCATTACTGATCATCGCTTCAAACCAAACATGCTTTATTTTAGCGAAAAGTCTGACATTTATAAAAACGGATCGCATGACAGCTGCATAAATGTGAGATACTTCTCCAGTCTTACATGTGGAATTAGTTTAGTTCCGTATAAGGACTGGCATATTTAATTTATTTTATTACCATAAATGAAAAAAACTGGTCTCTTACATACTAATCTTTGAAGGCAAAGCAGTCAAGTTCACTCAAGTCTCCGGTCAAGGACTGTCACTCCCGCAACATTCTCCAAAAAGTAATTTGGGGAATAATTTTGCGGTTACAACAACAACTCCAGTCAAACCACTCGCCATACCAATCTATCGCATCGATTGCACTTAAGTCTGACCAAAGCCCATTGGGATGCCAAAAAATAACTGGACCACAAAAGAAAAGACTTTGACGTTGACTATCTTAGATAGATAATCGAGAAGAAGTATTCTAAAATTTCGAATCCTAACACTGCCCATGAGGTACGTTCACTAAAACTTAATATTTCTTCATTCATTGAAGTGCCCTTGGCGTCGTTGTGTTTAATATTTCATACGCCTCCCCTTCACAAAACTTCTATTTAGCGAGAGCTTCAAGCTTTTGACCTAAAAATCTCAACACTGCATAAATAACCACGTCAAAAACGGAATTCAGTGTTTTCAATGGGAAATAAAGATTTGAATGCCAGCAAAGCAGAAATGAAAAATTTATGGTTGAATATGGAAAATAGGCTGAGCATTTTTTATAAAAAATTGCTGAGTTCGAATATGAATGCACCGCTTTATGATCTCGTGATTCAAAAGTAAATAAATACTCATTTATGTATGTATGCCAATACATAGAATCTTTGAATAAAGGCCATTACTATTTATAGAAGGAACTAATTATGGCCGTGAAAATGAGAAACCAGAAACAAAGGCTCATGAAACGAGCTCACAAGATTGAAAGCTATCACATTTTTGCCACAGGTCATTTGAGAAGGATGATGAAGGATACTTTATACTGAAAATTTCTTTGTTGTTTCATTCGACAATTGAAAACGGATAAATGTGACGAGACTTTATTGCAAGATGACTGCAAACCCTATGTACATACATATACATGTATGTAGGCACTTTGCAGTAAAATAGACTAGTTATAAATTACATCAAAACTTAAATGTGAAAATAGCCAATTTCCACAAAGACATCGACGTAACGATACCATCGAGGAAACCGTCAACTCTACAAGCAGCAGCTCTGAGATCCTAAAATATTGTGGAGAAGTTTGCCTATTGGACGACAATGCCAGACCACACACAGCTCACCTCATTTAAATGCCTTCAACCATCTCCCGCATTCCCCTGATTTAACACCTTCATATTACCACCTTTTTACCTAGCTGAAGCAGCACATGGCATGCAGGCTCGGTCTCATTCTTGACGTGTTTCGAGGCACCTCTGAGGATTCACAACTTTAATTCGTCAGTTATAGATCCTTTCAAGAAATAATTAATCATATTTGTTTAGTTTTCCGAAACGATAAGCCAGCAATTAAAATGTATGGCCATAAATTCATATGCTGTATGACATTTATAGGCCAGGCAATAAAAATTAAAGTACAAACAGATGTCCATATACACATACTCATGATATGAATATTGATACTTGATGCCTTTACAACAACATAAGCATCTATGTATACTGATGTTCTTATCATGAGTATGTAAAGCAATAAAAATTAAAACATAAGATAAGATTATCTATTCGTGGGTAATCTTCTAATGTAAACATACTTATGTACACATATGCATGCATGTAAATTTTCACATTACAAATTTATATAAATAAACGCTCTACAGATTGTGGAGTCAGTTATACTTAAACCAACTGAAAGTAAAGTGATTTAATTCCCGCCTCAACAATATTTATTTCAATTAATTCATCTTTTAACAACAGTAATTACTTTTTCCGATTGGGTATTCCAGTTCTACGTTCCCCAATCCTCAGACCAGAAAATTGCCGCATTTCATCGCAGGATTTATTTCGGCCGCACATTTTTCTTGTTTGTCAACCTCCTCAAGCTCCTCGTACTCAAGCATTTCGGCTTCATCCTTTAACATATGACTTTTCTTTTGTTCGAAAACTCCGTTCAATCTTGGTAACAAACTCGGACTAAAAAAGAGGATTCTGATGCTAGAAATACCCTCCAGTCACAGGTGTAAAAATAATCAGCCAGGGGATAAAGAAAAATCTTTTAATATTGCCTTAGGCGTGAACTTATGTTCGTCTGGTACTGGTTTTTATTTGAATCAATTTTCTATAACTTTTGGCAGTTGGTCGCACTAGGGTTTGAACCCGAGCCTTCCGAATGGCAGTACGTGTACATAAAAATATGATTGAATTTTAATTTATATGTATACGAAATCAAATGAAATAAGGTATTTGTCAAGAGTATTGTGAGTGGTACCGATTCGTTATTTTTCCGACCACTGCATTTGAGGGTAAAAACAAATTTTCGTGCTAAACCAGGCTCTTTTAAGTTTCTCGGAAGCATACACGTGGTTGTACTTATGTATGGCTGTGTATAACTGGAACAGCCTGTTGGTAAATAACTGCTGGTTGCAGCTCTTTTGTTGATTGCTAGTTATTACAATAACAACAATGGCCGGTTGATACGTTCTTTTGTGATTTCTTCTCGCACGAGTTGACAATCGAAGCGTTAATATTTCTCAGTATCCGTGTAGGTACATACACATAGATTTATATGCACGGCTGATAACGGCATTTGGTTGCAAGTCACTCGCATACGTGTATGTGTACGTACACATGCAGACACGTTATTTGCTATTGTAGTACGAAAAGCAACAATAAAAATCATTTGACAGAAATAACATCCAAAATCACATACTCACACATACACACATAACACATGCATACGAATATGTACTGCATATATTTACGTTGATTGTGTCCCAATTGTTGCTTCGTGCGTTGCACAAAATGCATTTGGTTATCCATATGGAATATTTTATTCGCTACGCTAGTCGAAGAGCCAAACAAATGTGCACATGTAGTAGTACAATATATATATATGTATATACATATGATAATATTATAAATTTCCTGGGAAATTCATGGGAAATGGGGGCGCTGCGTAATGTTCAACTTTCTGTTAAATTTCATATTTATGTGTGTTTGATTCTAGTTGCCAGAGCCGAGTAGCAACCATTCCTTTAAGAGATGGCTTCGATCAGTGTGAGCAAGTTACGGCTTG